TATGCAACAAGAAGAATACCGAGTTGCAAATAAGAAATATGACTATTTTATTAACAGACATTTTCTAGCGGAACTATTTTTATATGGCAATAAAAAGTAACGTCTATGTAAATTACTTTTGCGATAAAACCGAGTTTGAAAAACTGCTCGCGGCATTTTACTTCATAAATATACCTTTTTTTTATTGCAATGCTTTGTGCTGACTTTAATAAAAAGTCGTATTTAAATATACAAAAATAACATTTTCATTTTTAACTAAAGAACTTCATACGTTCATCAAAATAGATAACTTTCAACCGAATACTGAAATGACATTTGCTGCCTAGTTCTGTATTTATGAAAATTCCATATATTTTGTCATTACCAAGCCATTCAATAATGTTAATTGACTATATTTCAACGGATTAAAACCAAAACGAATAATGAATGTTTAACCATATGGGAAACCGGTCATAAAAAAAGCAATTGCGAACGGCGCGCTTGAAGCAATGCATTTAAGATTTTTCTCCGTCTTTGGTCGTATATGACTAACGAAAGACGTTTTAACGGTAACATTAATTTTAAAGTTACTTAAGTCATTCATATACAGTATCAAACAAGGATAACTTAACTATGAGTAAATTTAAAGTAACTTAAATACAAGATTGAAATACAATTCTAGTAAGATCACAATTCAGGGCATTTAAAACTATTTAAAAACAGCTTTCACCCGCGGCTCTTTCCGCGTGGAATTTAAAAAAAGTAGCCTATGTGATTTGCCAGACTATCCTCTACATTTATACCAAATTTAATTGAAATCCGTTCAGCAGTTTAGGCTACAAACTCTAACAAGCATCCATCTAAATTTCTCATTTATAATATTAGTATGATATTGTTACAGGTAATATGCACCATGGAAAACTACAACGAAAGCCTCGAGTTGAACAATTCAGAGCCATACCAACCTTACTACGAAAGACCAGAGACATACATAGTACCACTTATATTTGCACTGATCTTTGTTATAGGAGTAGTCGGTAATGGGACTCTAGTTGCTGTGTTTATAAGACACAAAGCGATGAGGAATGTTCCAAACACGTAAGTACCTCTGTCTCTGTACTAGGAGTCATAAATATGGCTAAACTAGCTTTCGCCCGCGACTCCGTTTGCGTGGAATTAAAAAAAAACAAAAGTAAGTAGCGTATGTGTTCTTCCAGACTGCCCTCTACATCTATACCAAATTTCATCGAAATCCGTTCAGCCGTTTAGGCTACAAACTCTAACAAACATCCATCCATCCATCTAAATTTTCACATTTATAATATTAGTAATAGTATGATATTCATTAAGAGAGACCACTTAATACGCACTGAATTTAACGTCAAAAAATGAAATATAGTTTTGCAAACCTTCTTGCTAATCTTACTTAATATTATAAATGTGAAAGTTTAGATGGATGGATGGATGTTTGTTTGAGTTTGTAGCCTAAACGACTGAACGGATTTCGATGAAATTTGGCATAGATGTAGAGTATAGTCTGGAAAAACACATAGGCTATTTACTATTGTTTTTTTTTAATACCACGCAGACGGAGTCGCGGGATAAGGCTATAATTGCATAAATATTTATTAACTTTAACCAATAAGGTTATATTTATATGCTGTAGTTACTAAAAGCGTGTACAAATAAACTGAGTTCAAAGCTAGTACAATACCAAATACAATTTTGGGTAAAATGGCAAACTATCGACTTATTGAGCTCTGCAAAACACAATTTAAACTGTTGTTGTTTTAGTTCAACCATTTGGGAGACTATTTCGAACAATGCAATAACGTTTATTTGTTTTATTTCCTGTGATTTGTTCGAATAATTTGTAACAGTACTAAAATGAAATGAAAATATTAACACGAATATTGAAGCAGTTTAACGCAATTTTTTCTATAGTAATATTAAACAATTTTCAAGTAAATGTATTTACTGGATCTAGGGTATTCGACCAATAGTCATTTAGGTTCTTAAAATGTGCACAGAAGTCACTAGGAGACTTTTTTGTGGTAGTAGGTTATCAGGTCATATTGTAATCAAATTTGATATTCCACAGGTATATTTTATCACTAGCGTTAGCTGATCTCCTGGTAATCATCACTTGTGTGCCCTTCACATCAATTGTGTACACGCTGGAGTCTTGGCCGTGGGGTTCCACTGTTTGTCGTGTCTCTGAAGCCGCTAAAGACGTCAGCATCGGAGTCTCCGTGTTCACATTGACAGCGTTATCCGCGGATAGATATTTCGCTATTGTAGATCCATTGAGGAAACTTCACGCTACAGGTTAGTTGCTAATTTATTCAAAATGTTATCGAATTAATGTTATCTTTAAGTAAATATTGCTTAAAACTTGCTGATTTTTTCTAAAGATTATGTTCAGTGGCTCTGAAATTCTAAGGGCGTATTGAAAACCGTAACTACTTTATCTGATAATGTGAACACAAAACAGCTTTGTTAGAACTAAATTTTTAAGAATAACAGCGCAATAGTTTTTCCTGTTCTGTAAATCGCAAACGGAGACATAAAGTTGTGTTTCGCTGAAAGTCCATAATCGTTAATTTCGCTCCGTTTATACTTTTGTTTTGCACTCAATGATGAAACGAATTCCGTATAAAACCCGGTTCTTACGAAGCTTCAACAAAATTTGGATAAACCTACGTAATGCAAGTCATGGAGCATCGAACCACATCATTCAGGTTTACCCTAAACCATTAAAGTAATAGAAATTTCCTCCGCTGTTTATTTATAGATACTTAAGTGCTCGTAGCAAAAGGAGAATTATTTTTCTCAATTGAGCAAGGGCATGAATGAAATTCCCCATCGCTTACTCATACAAACATGTTTCAATAAAAACCCATGCGAAGTGAAGAGAATCGTTTGGAAAAATTATTGACTTTTAAAGCGACGATAGATATATTTCTCTGATACGATTTTTCACACCTCTTACGTTATTACTCAAGGGATCAAAGGTTAACTGGCTCCGCTTTTTCAATGTCATGACAAACGAGATATTCGACATTCATCACATATTATTTTTAGTATCAAAAATAACCTAAAATTGGAGAATGACTTTGTATAATTAGGTACAACTATACTCTACTCAATAAAATAATTATATATTTTATTTTACAATCATGATTGGTCATAAGCCAACACAAAAATCTACAAGAAATTGATTAAAATCTTCTTCTTTTATATACCTTTGTTCAGTGAACATCAGAAGTTCATTAATCACATTCTGAATCTTACTTCTTACTAATATTATAAATGCGTAAGTTTAGAGGGATAGATAGATGTTTGTTACAGTTTGTAGCCTAAAAGACTGAACGGATTTCGATGAAATTTGGTATAGATGTAGAGGATGGTTTGGAAGAACACATAGACTACTCACTTTAATTTTTTTTTAATACCACGCGGACGGAGTCGCGAGCGAAAGCTAGTCTCAAATGTTAATAGACAATCACCACTTTTGATTAACACAATAAAGCACATCTTAAGTGTTAAACAAAACAAATGTCTTTTAATAAAACAAGAATAGTGAACAAAGCACTAACAATGCCCGTTGTTATTACGATAAATCCTAAAATAAACGCACTCACGAAACAGAAGATGCCAGATGACCGCTCTTAACTCTTAACACAAACATTGAGTCGATAACTAGTGTTGTCTTCTATCGACAAAATGGAAATAAAACTGTCGATAAACAGAATACAATCACAGCACTGTTTTTGTTGGCTGGTGATCAACGTTTTGATACGTCCGCGCGGTGTGCAGATGTAACTTATTCGATATTATGAATGTCTATTTCCGTAAACATTGCTGATTGAGATATCACTTTGTACAGGAAATTCTGATTCAAAACTACATTGTATTCGATAATGACTCTGACTCTTCGATACTGACGGGGGTAAGATTTCCATGACCTTGTAAATCAAAACGCAAGTATTTGAGGTCGTGGTTTACTAAACTGGTATTAAATTATTATCTGGGCAAAACGTGTAAATTGGCGCCTATAAAACTCTTCTCAATTAGTAAACCAAACCACAGTTAACTGGCGTAATTTTTATTTAACGAACTAGCTGTTGCCTGCGACTTCATCCGCGCAATGTTAAGATTAAAAAGTAGCCTATAATATGTCCGTCTATGTCAGCTACCCTTCAGTGAAAGTGAAAGTAAAACGAAACGGCTTGACCGATCTCGGTCAAGCCGTTTCGGTATTACCCGGAACAAACGCGGCTTGCGAACATACAGACAGACAAGACAAAAAAATGAATGCGATTTTCGTTATCAGCAACGCAAAAACATCATCTTCCCGAAATCTGGAATTTTTCTTTTGATATTACAGACACTCTAATCTATACTATTATAATAAAGTGTAAACACACACTTTTTTGTTGCCTAAGATATCAGCAATTACAGCATATTTTTGAATAATTATTACTTTAATAAAAAGCCTTGCACTTTCGTAACGCTTTAGGCTATATATTTTTAGGCCATTAAACTTAGGGGGTAAATATTTTGGATGAAAACCCTAATGTGGGAAAGAGAGTATAAGTTGCTGCCAACATCAAGGAAGCAAGATTGCCAAGGTTTGTAATGTCATGTCATTTTGACATTTGCAATTGATAATTTGACAAATGTGAATAAAACGTAATTTTTATAATTTCATGCGAATGAAATCGCATCGGAACAGCCAGTTTTATTATATGTATAGATAAGTTTTATCAACCCGTAGTTTTTCAAACTCGGTTATAGATCAATCAAGGATGTTGTAATGCCTCAAACAGATAAATATTTACATTGAGACGAGCGTACTGTTGCGAAATATATCGATTTATTAGTTACATATCCGTCTACGATACAGATTTAAAAATTTTATTTTTCCTACCACAGAACCTGTTTATTCCGGTGAATATTTTTATTAAAAACTTAGTTGTGACTACACTCTGCTTAGTTTTTAAGTTTAAATATAAACGGTTTTGTTCCACTGAAAATTGCTGGACAGTGTTTTGGTAATTGGTTTTTGTATTGTAAATTGGTTCCTCATTTTGCATAATAGTCAATTAAACTCTGAACCTAAAAGCTACTTCTTTTAATCATACTAATATTATAAATGCGTAAGTTTAGATGGATGGATGGATGTTTGTTAGAGTTTGTAGCCTAAAAATCTGAACGGATTTCGATGAAATTAGTCCTAGATGTAGAGTCTGGAAGAACACATAGGCTACTCTCGTTTTTGTTTTTTTTTTTCAATTCCGTGCGGAAGTTTTCGGGGGTAAAAGCTAGTATTTACTATAAACCAAAAGCAATAAGAACATAAATTAGAAAACAAAAACGAAACGTGGTTAAAAATAACTTCATTCGAAAACCTAACTAAATAGCTAAGCTTTATTTTCAAAATCAAATAAATTATAACTCAGCTTATAGATAATGCTATCGAAAACTTATTGCCTTAAAGATTTTATACAGATATTCATAATGCACCAGAATGCATGCCAAGTGCAGATCAGTTCATGTGTATGATTTATTTTCATTCTGTAGATAGCTTGCACCGACGCCATTACAAATTTGACGTCCATGAGCACATCAAATATCAGTATGATGCGTTACCATTTACTTGTGAACGTGTAGAATTGCATAAGAGCATGTTTGGATATTTTTATACTCGTAGAAGTAAGATAAAGGTGGATACTGGCATAGGTGCAAGGTAACTTGCTATACGAGCATTATTGCAATCTGTACGTGGTGGTACGTGATAACCAACGTACAAGCCCCTAGTTGCGAATATTACATTACACCAAGTAACTTGGTCCAGCATCTTGTAATATGTAGTCCGTACCATAGAAGTTACTAAAATTTTAAATGCAAAAATCTATTTGGATGGATAGTTGTTTGTTAGAGTTTGTAGACTGAACGGTTGAACGGATCTCGATGAAATTTAGCATAGATGTAGAGGATAGTCTGGAAGACCTAATAGGCTATTTATTTTTTAGTTTCACACAGATGGTCGCAGGCGAAAGCTGGTAATATAGTCGGGATAAAAATGTTTGTACTGTGTGCAAAAAAGCTTGCGTGTCCAAGTCGAGCGTAAACAATAACTAAAATTAATACTACATTTTACGTGTTAATATAATCGCAGATTTAGCAATAATTACGTACATTAATTGCTATTGCATTGTATTAAATTCTTTCACAATAAGAAATTAAAAAGTTACCATTTCGTAAGCAGTAAAATCCGTTTACACAGTCTGCCGCAACGGGTACAGGCAATAAAAATCCGCGATAAAACTCTAGGCGTATCTTTTTTAAAACTGACATTGTTATTGTATCGAAGTTTACTGCGCTATTTTACAGATAGCGATAGCAAAGCTACGTTTTACCACTTCCTTATTCGTATATGAAATGTTTGAAAATACATAGAAATGATCTAAAGTAAATGCGATAACTTCTCTCCTCAAATCTTTAAGACGCCCTCTAGCGTTGGAAAGAATGTTTTTGTTCTTCATGTCCTTCCTAGAGAACGTTCTAGACGGACTTTTATTGGCACCTTTAGAGCGGGCGCACACCTTTAACTAACCTATCGCACAAACGTCGTGCGATTGTCAATTCAACTGTTTAGTTTTATGAGTTGCACAACTAAAAATCGAGTAGTGTGTCACCTCCATATAACCTCATAGGAATCAAATCGCGACTATACAGTTGTGTGATAGTTTAGTCTAAGATGTGCACGCGCTCTTAATGTAATGCGAATTTACTTTGACGACATATTTTGCATAGGGGTATGACTTTGATATATCTATACTAATATTATAAGTAGGAAAGATTTGTATTTTTGTACGTATTGGATTTACCTCAAATCTACCTGGTCGAATTAAAAAATGCTTTCGCCATTAGAAAGCTTTAACCCAGAATAAAATAGGCAGGCTAACTTTATTATAAGATTAATTTCCACGCTGATGAAGTCGCAATCGCTAGTTAGATATTTCGATTAGATAAATAAATATAGAAATTTTAATGTATGAAAGTGTGAACAGATAATATTGTCTGAGCAAAATTGTGTTTCATTTATTCCCACTATTGAAGTTTTCATCTTGAATCTATTGAATGATTTTCCAACTTAACATATTTCATTTAATAGTATTGATTAACGTTTCAATCTTCCGTTCGCTTGACATTCCTTAAGATTTATGATCTTATTTGCATATGAAAGAGCTCGGAGCATTTACCTATATTTTACCAGAAAAGTTTTAACACGTTCAATGCCAAATTAATATTAAGATGCATCTCTGTATGCTGTTTTTGGTATTGAATGCACTATTGTGGCCATACATTATTAATTTATTTGTAAGTTACAATAATTTTTATAACAAATCTTCATTTGTTTTAGGATAACAATTGGTCCAAGTTGCCGCCATTTACACGGCCATATACACCACGACGCCATGTTGGCATTCAATGTGTTATGTTCTTTGCAATAATCTATTGTAGAATTCTTGTAAATTCTCAACACAGATTTTATTCGAGTTCATATGTTTTTTAAGATTGATATTTGGAATGTATTTTTTTTATTATTCATAAATGTTATGTTTGGAAATGACGTGATTATTATATTTTAAATTGCTATTGTTCTTTTCTTAACATTTGCTAATGAAATAACAATTTGTCACGTCAAAAACAGGGAATATTTTCTTTAAGCTTTTGTGTATATCAAGGTTATAAGCGTTTTTAGTGGATCTATTATTCACAAAAGCTAAAACACGGGAGAGTGTTTTCCTAAATGAATTTACTTACGTTTAAAGCGACAAAGAATGGATTTTCTAAGTAATTTAAGCGTGTTTTAAGAGATTTATTAGCAAAAATAAAGACAACGCACTCTCCTTTATGTTAATTGTTCTAATATTTGATCTGAGTAACAATCTTTGATGACAAAATTCACCATTTTTGTTTACATTTTTAATCTATTTAGTTTCACGTACTAAGGATCAAAATATCTGACCTATCGTTTAGAAGACGACTGATACATGTTTAGAATTATATCAATATCTATTACATATAATAAAATCGGAGTGTCTGTTTGTAATATCAAAAGAAAAATTCAAAATTTCGGCAAGATGCGTTGCAGATAACGAAAATCGCATTAAATTTGTCTGTCGGTCTGTCTGTAAGCTACGTTTGTTAGTAGTTGTTAGACTCAGAAATAGCTAGGCCGATTTCACTGAAGCGTAGCTGACATAGACTGGCTTATAAGCGACTTTATTTTTTAATTCAGCGCTGTCAAAACGACGTAACGGATGGTCCAAATTGCGCTAACGAAGTTTGCGACAGCTTGTATGTAACAAACTAAAAGTAGAATCGATCTCAAGGATCTTTTATTAGGTTTATCCGTAAGGAATTATACACGAAAATTACTGTTACGGTCGAACACTGACGTATGTAACAGCGCCTTAAATGATAAGAGCATGCTTAAACTCCAATTTTTCATGTCTATCAAATTGTAAGCGGCACTTACGAAGCGATGTATCGGGATTCGTTTCAGTATTAGGCTGTTCAATACTTATCATCAAAAAAATGACGACACAAAGCTTTTAAACCGTTAAAGTAACATTTTCTTAATGAATTAGATTGAATACTTTTATGAGCGTTTACATAAATTTTCCTTTAATTTTCAAACATCAAACAAAATGTAATTTATCACTGTAATACAATACACAAATTACTCAAGTCGAGCTTTTTAAATTTGGAAAGAACGAATTACGACATCGACCTTTTTAAAACAAAACACTTCATTTAATAATAGTCTACGATCTAAGCAAATTGAAAGGCTTATAAAGTGTTGTTTAAAATTGCAAAGAAAATATAAAGTAAAAATTTTGAGACGCTATATTTATTTTGTAGTCGAATTCCATAGAAATAATACAAGCATTATATGTTAATGGATCCCAAGTATACAAGCATAAATGTATGAAGTCGAAATTAAACAATAAATTATACATTGTAAGAAACCACTAACTTAAGCAAGTTTACCATTATAAGACTGTTATCACAGACATTTTAAATAAATTTCTGAAGTTTTCATTTATGTTATTACTTAGTGATTCCTTAGTGTTAGTTGATCTATATTGATGAAGTAAAACTCAAGTTACGTAGTTCGAAAACGCATTTCTTGAATTTATCGAACTAAAACTCTAACAAATGGTTAAACATAGCTGGGAAACCGGCCATAAAATAGACGTGTTAGTATCATCAAATTAAAAACAGCTGCTTTCCAAACTAAATTCACAGACAAGTGAATGTCGACTATTGACATATTTTTTAACGCCCTTTTCTTATAAGGAGAGGATGGGAAGAGGAAGTGGATTAAACGGAGGAGGAGGTACATAGGAAGGGGAGTCATCCTCTTTATGTGCGTCTCCTCCTCTGTCGGATAAGGGTAGGCAACGGATCTGCAATTGCGGATGTCTATGGGCAGAGGTCGCTTCGCCATTTTGGCGGATTCAGGTAGCTGTTGGCTCGTTTGCCTTATGTTATAAAAAAAAATCTCATTCCCATTGATTTCGACCATACATCTATACATAAACGCATAGTACTCGTATATGTGTACTAATCAGTATTCCCACAGTAAGCTGTTTTATAACGAACCTAAGGCCTATTTTGGTCCTCTTTTCTACAAAGATGGGTACGAAAAGTGGAGTTGATAGCGATGACGCAAAGGTAGGGAAAAACTTGCTGTGCGTCCCCTGCTCTTCCTGAGAAAAGCCTATGCAACCATCTATGGGCAACAGTCTTTTCGCTAGTTTAACCATTGCAAAAATGTAACAAAACTTGCACATTTTTTTACATCTCTTACCACGGTAGATTTTGTGATTCAGCTATATTGCTAAAATAGGTTAAAAAAAACACAAATTCGATTACAGAATATTGTAAAGCCTTTTTGTATTCGGGTCTATCTAAATACGTAGTTTGATGTAATCAGCTTTACGACCTTTACTGTATTATTATAACAAAGACGGATTGACCTTTCTTCTTTACTCACATGTCCCTGATGTTTTTATATCATTTAAATGGATATTTAATAAAATACAAGTCCAGAATATAGCAGAAAATATTTTAAAAAAAGATTCACAAATCTGACTTCAATTATTTTTTATAAAAGCTGTACCAAAATATGCATAGTTATACTTCTAAACTAATATTATAAAGAGGAATGATTTGTATTTTTGTATTTGTTTGTTAGTGGTCGTCGTCGTCAAGAGCGTCGGTGACTCAGTGGTTTAAGCACTTGACTTGTAATTTACAGGTCTTGGGTTCGAATCCCGCCATGTACCAATGTGATTTTCGATTTTTCGAATTTTCATATGTACATAATTTACCCGACGTTCTTACGGTGAAGGAAAACATCGTGAGGAAACGTGCACATATCGGCAAAGAAATTCAAAGATATGTGTGAAGTCAACCGACCCGCACTTGGCCAGCGTGGTTTGACTATGGCCTAGTCACCCTTACTTAGGGTAGGCTCCGAGCCCCTCGGTGGGGACGTATAGTGAGCTGGTGATGATGATGATGATGATGATGATTATGATTTGTTTGTTTTACGTAAAAACTACTAAGCCGATTTTAAAAATTCTTTCACTATTAGAGAGGTAATTCATCTGTGTCTAATATACAATATGTTTTTTCTTAATTTTTTAATTTCATGCGGACAAAGTCTCGAGCAACAGCAGTGTTCAATAACTAAATTAGTATATTTCATTCTTATGTCTTTAAGAAAATTTCGTTTCCTAAAACATTAAGAATTAACAATTCATTTTAGTAAAAGAAATTGTACAGTCAGGTATTATTATTTAACAACTTTTAACGCAAGCCCTCTTCAATAGGTGGCAGTAAGCGTGCGACGCGCCTCACCGTGGCGACTGCCATCGGTATTTGGATACTGGCTGCAGTCCTCGCTGCCCCTGCCTACATTGGATCTTATCTGAGAGCTTTTGTTGTCAACCCTACTACTCAGGTAATTAAAACACACTTTACACAAATAATAATTACACCTTAACGAATTATTATGAAAATTAGGACGAGTTTATCTTTTGCGAGCGTTTCTTCTAAACAGCATTTGCAGAAACTTTAGTGTTAAGAATGTCATTGAATTATATTGCTTGATAAAAAAGAAATAAAAAAAGAAGATATAAGTGATATGATGATCATTGAGATACTATATTTTTGTATATTTGAGAAAAAGAAAAGTTTTCCCTAAAAATTGCCGATGATACAAATGTAATTGTCAGTTAAAATAGCCCAGTAATAGTAAATGACAGATAAATTCTACAAATAAAATTGGATTAAGCACTTGTAAGATCCAATGAGATTAGTTGACCTTTCTCCGAGCGGATAATATAGTTGGATCTGTCTGCCTGTGATTAGATAATCAACAAGATCCTTTAGCAATATCGTTTGAAAGACTATAGTAGAAATTCTCCTGCATGTTTTTGTAAAAATATCAAAGGTACCTCAATTGTCAGGGGAAATGCGTTATAATTAATAAATGTAAGTAAATATGGTCTAAATTTGTTTCAATCCGAAAACGGCCAAGGTTATCTGAATTCCAGTTAGTAACAAACAAAATTTGTCAAGAGGTTACTTTACGTGACAATTTTTTTTTTCAGTAGTTCAGGTTGTACTTACTTAATGAATAAATTAAATGCAATTGATGAATTTTGTTACAGTTCTTAGTTTGCTATCCGTACCCACCGGAATGGGGAGAAAGTTACCCCAAAACGATGGTGCTTGTACGCTTCCTGGTGTACTACTCCTTACCTCTAGCTGTTATCGCATTATTTTACATTTTGATGGCACGCCATCTAGTGCTCAGTACGCAAAACATGCCCGGTGAAATGCAGGGGACACAAAGACAGGTAACCACATTTAGTCAGTATTCATTTAATGTGATCATTATAATTTATTTAACAATAACTCGTCCTGTCTTTTTTATTTTTCCATGCATTTCTAACACTCGTCACATCTAGACAGACTCCGTCCGTTTCCACACAATCCATCTATACATACATCTTTGTAGACATTCACATCTATTACTTTCATTATTCATTGAATGAATTTGATTTTTCAATTTATCGTTAATTTTATTTCTCGACTTTCGCAAGCCCTTTTCAATATCAAGCAGAGCGTTCATGCAAAGTTCACAGACATTCTACCGAGTCTCTCAAAGGCTCTACCGATAACAATGCATTCAAGCCCATTCAATTTCACACCTGTACACGATCATCTGATAATTACGTGCAATTTTACGAAAAAAAATATGCTTCAGAGCATGCGCTCACTTAAACCTAAACTCTCGCACAACTGTTTAGTCTCGCTTTGATTCCTTTTAGTTTAATAGAGATGCGCACACTAATTGATTTTTAAAACTACTAAACAGTTGAATTGGCTGCGAAACAATCGACAAACGCACTTGTAGCAGTTAAGTCAAAGGTGTGCGCTCGCTCTTAATATTAATATATTCATATTTATTTTGTAGATGCGCGCTCGCCGAAAGGTGGCGTTAACAGTACTGGCGTTTGTCCTAGTGTTCGCTGCGTGTTTTCTCCCATCTCATGTTTTTATGATGTGGTTTTATTATTGGTAAGTGGTGACCATAAAGCTGCAGTAATCTTTTCTAGTCCTTTGTGTTACTTTTACGTGATCTTTGATGTGGTTTTTACGTAAATTATCTACATAATTGTAACAATGTTTATGATCTCTAAAATATAAAGTAACTAGTTGTTAAAAGTTACTTCAAAATAATATTTTTTTAAAACTTGAATCTCCGAGTTGAAAAAAAAAATGTTTTTAGTGTAGAAATTTTTTACTGGAATGCGAATTTTTATAACGGTAATTGGTACAGCGCATTCACATTTGAAGCGTGAAGTATCAAAGTAATTAAACTTCTTTTTTTTATGAAAAACTAGCTTTTGACCGCGACTTCGTCCGCGTGGAATTAAAAGAACAAAAGTGAGTAGCCTATGTGTTCTTCCAGACTATCCTAGAGGATGAGGAGAAGGAGGATGAAATTTGGCATAGGCGTCTATCCTAAATTTCATCGGGATCCGTTCAACCGTTTAGCCTACAAACTCTAACAAACATCCATCCATCTAAACTTTCGCATTTTTTAGTCCGACAGCGCAAGATGACTATAACGGTTGGTGGCATGCTCTACGGATTGTAGGATTCTGCCTATCCTTTTTGAACAGCTGCGTCAATCCAATCGCATTGTACTGTACTAGCGGCATCTTTAGGAAACATTTTAATAGGTAAGTTATATCGTGAGTTTCCACTATCGATATACATGTTAAATAACTTATTGAACCTTATGTTAATGAAACAGAGATGCAATATCTCGTATTAATACTATTTTACTACCAGGTATCTTCTATGTCGTTCTGGATCCACTCACGGTCCAAGAGGATCGTTGTCTCTATCAACTTCTAGAAGATTACACTCCAGTAGGAAGACAAATATAAGCATGGTGCCTACACGAACGTAAGTTGTAATTTTTGAAGTAGATTAGTTTCTTATAAGTTTGCTGATTTATTTTATTTAGAATTAATCAATGTCTTAAGAAATTCTTTAGTTTACTCGTTGTTTAATGAACGTTTAAATACAAAAATATGAAAAATAAATATTGGATTATCTTCACTATTTTTTATTAAAACTATGGAAGGAAAGTCGTCACAGGCTTTTCATATAGATTTAAAAATCAAATCTCGATTGTTTGTTTCATCTTACAGAACCAGCGTTGGTCGTGAGAGCAGCATTCGTCTCCTAAACAACGGTTCATCGAAGCTCTGAGGAAGGAACCGAGGCTCGCGTAGCGCGGCCAACAACAACACTGAACGAACCAAAGAGAACTATAGCAAGTGTCTTGTGTACAAAGCCGACAGTACTGCACCATTCCCTAAGTGTTGCGAGACAGAGAACGGCGTCAAACATGTCGAAACTAGATTAGACGGAAAAGATGTTAGCACGGAAAGTTTCTATGTACCAATCGATGGGACATATCGTTGATTTGGCTTGTTCACGGGAATTCCTCAGTACATCCCTTACTCTGTCCTTATTCTATAAGAGAAGTTAAGATAGACCGTTAGATTTCTATCGCGAATATAGACTTTTATTTAGGGAATCAAGGTCTAATTTACCTTGTCATTTCAATCGCATAAAGGATCAATTTATTTGCGGTAAAAATCTTCTCTGCTCTACAATTCTTGTCTGTCTGAATGGGCCTTAAGTAGCGGTTACATCGCTGTTATAACTAAATTAGATGGCCACTCGCTTTGTCACCTACAGTAAGTGTTGTCCAGCATTTTTTTAATAATTGTATTATGTAGATATAACGTAAGTAACGCATTTAATATTTAAAATATTAATGTAACATATTAATCTTTCGTTAGCGTAAATTTCTACGATCTAGTCAACGTAATGTTGTAAAATATTGTAAATAATAATTTGAAATTATACGTAATTTTTTAATATAGAATATGATGTTTTAAAAGCACTTATTTGTTATAAAACTGTCACCTATAAATGTATTTTGCGCAAAAAATATGTTAAATTTAAGCAGTATAATTAGTAAATCAATGTACAAAGAGTTATTTCTAGCTGTTAAATATATTATCTGATCAATGCATAACAAATATAGAAAACATTAAAAAAATCATATCAGCTATATTTTATAATTAATTATTTCACGGCTTACTCACGTCATACTTTTTTCCGGTACCGGCACCGAACAGTTTCAGACCCCCCCGCAGGGTCCTTCTTCAGGGCGAGGGTTGAAGATGTATCGCGGTCGTGTCGCGCCTCGCACTGATAATAAGCTATAATTTTATGATATTTTTTTAAGAAATGGGTTAATATTTTTCAAAATTAAAATCAACAAGCTTTTGAATGTGTTAAATGTTAGTATATTTGTACATTATAATAATTGTAAAAAAATCTACATTGTAAATAAAGCTATTGTAAAATTAATAAATAAATCCAAATTAAAAAAAATGTATTTTATTATATCAACAAAAAGTTCCTTAGACGATTGTATTTCCAAAATAAATTATGCAATAAGAAAAAAATATTTTATAAAAACAACGTACTGATAAAACGTGACAAATGTCTATTTATAATTTATCACTATATCAATTCATATTGAAGCAATATTGATTAAAAATAAACTTATCTTGACAGAATATATAACTTAACAACATCAGCTAGATAATTGTAAATGACTAACAAAATATGGGTAACAGTTATTATTTTTGTCTAAAATAATCATAAAAAAAAATGAATATCGCAGCGGATCCAAGTGTTTGTCAATCGCTGCCTCAGACAAATTCTAGGTATCTTTTGGCCAGAAACAATACATAACTAAGAACTCCTGACATGTTACATCCTAAATCAACCCATCGGTCAGCAAATAAATATATAATACAACGCCGCAAGTGGTTATGGATTGGTCTACGCTTCGCCAGGATCGCAGACACATTCCCAGTGAAACCCTGAAGTGGATCCCACTGGGAACAACAAAAGTAGGTATTGTATCAAATCTCAATTCGATATTGAAATATTAAAAACATCTAATATTTTTTGTTACATCAAAATATTATTTTGAAGATGAAAAACGGTTTACTAGAAATCAAATATCGTTTATTAAAAATTGTTTACGTGAGTATTTTGTTTCGTAAAATCTTAATGGAAGTTGTTTGCAGACTTATTTTATTATAAAATCGCTTGATATCAAATTATTGTGACCTTCAACGGTTTTTAAAGTATTATTTATTTAAAAAAAAAACAACACAACAATTAAAAAATCAATGAATGTCTTTCCATTAATTACTTATATCATCTATTATAAAAAGTAAATCATACTAACTTTCACCCGCGTCTCCGTCCGTGTGGAATTAAAAAAGTAAGTAGCTTATGTATTCTCCTCGACTGTCCTCTACATCTATGCTAAATTTCATCGAAATTCTTTTAGGAGTTTAGACTACAAACGCTACCAAACAACCATCTATCTAAACTTTCGCGTGATATTAGTACGATTGGAAAAGTAATTATGTGACTAGACAAAAAATGATACAAACATATTTAATAGTAAGAATGTTATTTTATGCCTACGTTGGAAATTGATAAAATCATGCGAATCTTAAAGAAAAATTACACATAAGTGATTTCTAAGAAAATATCTCTGCGATTAAATCCATTTAGCATCATGTCAAACTTTGACAATGTAATCTGAAAAACTCTGAAAATAATTCAATTTCAAATATCCTAATCTATATCAAATACATATTTCAATCACCAGAAATTACATAATAGAAAATTTGATCTGAACTTACAAAAGATTTTCGCAGAACATACTCCAATAGAGCAGTGCACAATGAAATCTATTTCGAACACACATTAATATTTACTTCTTATTCCATCATTCCTTCAATAAACTTCGATTTGTAAATGGAATAGTTGAAGACCTATACAAATAACTAGATAGTACCAAAGGCAATGCCAAAATTATATTAAAATTCGTAGTTCAAGTAATATAAAAAACTAAATATGAAAACCGTTTTGGACAATTTTAAATCGGGACATCCTAACAAAGATTCTGTTTGGCACGATTCCTCCTGCCAGGTTCCACACATCTCGATGGCAGTAATACCATAACAGTACGGTTTTCGCAAAACATTCTGCCGCGCACAACCGCTTCGTGGACGAGTCTTTTCACGGCAATATTTCCAAACCTGCACAAAGGACCTTTCCATAGACGTCGTTGATAATCTTGGTGTTCCCGCCGCTCGCTTGCACACTTATCTTATAAAAAAAAAACAATATGATCCATAACTTATCTATCAGTGATTTAGGATCACATATGTACAAAGTGGTTTTTATTTATTAATTGTATATCTAACAATCATGATGGATTAAAACTGTCGATGCGTTGCCGCTGTACAATTGATAAAATGGATTAAACTTGGAATTGAATATTGAACCCATTCTTCATTGTTGATTTAATTTTTTTAATAAAAAGGCATCAAATACGTTGAAATTGGTTTTACAAATCCTGAAACATGTTTATAGAGATAATTTATTTATCCCACATAACTTTGTTTCATAAAACTGTATCTTTTTTTACTTCTTAATAATATTGTTATGCTAAATGCGAAGAGCTTCCACCAACATCTGAAGAAGCTCTCGCTAGACAGTTGGATTAAGGGCCCGATTCATCAAAAGGCGGTTATTTTAGAAACCGCACGCATTGTGAGGAGGTTCCTGTCTCTGCAGCCCTGACCACTGGTTGCTTGAGTCATCGGATGCCGCAGCCGGTGTTCTATTTTTTACATGACGTATTTTATTTTTTATACAAATAATGTAAAATGTTATGTATTAAATAAGAAAATAAAGATATATGAGTTAATTGTTAATGCAAAAGTTAAGATCTATGGATGAATGTTGAAGGAGGTGTCTCCAAAACTGCTTCATAGATCTTGCTGATAGCTGTAGAATATAGTGTGGAAGAACACATAGGTTACTAGTTAAGATAATTTAATTTCCGACGGACGGAGTCGTGAACAAAAGCAATATTTTAATATTCACGCAAATGTGTTTCAATTATGTTTGATTGACAGACGTGGGCATATCAAATGTCACTCGATTGAATGCCTTTCTAAAATATTGACACACGGATAACAGTTATTTAGAAATAAGCCTAAGCTTAGAAGCTTATCTATTGCGATTATATATTTGCACTAATCTAAATTGATTTTTAGGTCGTACGAGAACCTTAGGGTTTGACTATACAAAAATTTAGACAGTGTTTCAAGTACATTTTAACTTAAACAAGCATTACAATTTTTGTACCGTGACTAGCCCGCATGAATTTTTGACAAATTGTAGCCTTACATAGGTATGCGTAGGTTTGAAAATTCGCTCTTAATTAATCTTACTAATATTATAAATGCGAAAGTTTAGATCGATGGATGTTTGTTAGACTTTGTAGCCTAAACGACTGAATAGATCTTGGTAAAATTTGGCATAGACGTAGAGGTTACTCTGGAAGAACACAGAGGTATTTTTGTTTTGTTTTTTTAATTGAACGCAGATGGAATCACGCGCGAAAGGAAGTAAAAAATAAAGTTATTATATCAAATGCAGTGTTTTGGTGTAAAAATTAAACATTATGATTGCTTATTCTTGAACAATCAAAATCTTTTGTTTACTAAACGAATATAAAATTAGTCATTCTAAGCACAATAACTTTAAGATTCCAATAAGCAAACTAAGCTTGACAACAACTCTAAAGTTTACGCAATTAATACCTTTGACTAAGGTGTCTGATTCAAGTTTGTTTAACTTATTTGAACTTGTATATTTCACAGTCGAATTCAATCTCGATTCAATGACTTATCTATTTTATGATCGATTTGTTTTAAATTCTTATTGATAAAGAGTAATGGTAATCAAATATCGGGGGAATAACGGTAAACTTACACTAAGTTAGAGGTAACTACACTTTAGTCAACCACGCAGACCCACTGCGGGTTGACTACACACATATCTTTGCATTTCTTCGCCGATATGTGCAGGTTGCATCAAGTTTTCCTTCACTGTAAAAATGTCGGGTAAATTATGTTCAAATGAAATTCGAAAATCAAAAATCACATTGGTACATGGCGGGTTTCGAACCCAAGACTTGTGGACAGGGTTTTTTGACCCAAATTATAGTTCCTTGTATTTTATTTTG